GCAATGTAAGTACTACTGCTAATGTGGTGTCAGTGTGAGGTAATTCATGTTACAATTATTAGGATCAGTCTATACTACAGGACATCTTTATATGTAATATTTATATTCTCCTGCCAGCCGCTGCCACCCGGGACGGACGTACGGCGCGACGCGGCTCCGGCCACTTTGCCCCCGAATTTTAAATCTCTGATATCTATCTTTTTTTTTAAATAAATTAGAGATTAAAATGATTAACGTGGGTTACAATTAGGAGATAAACATATACCATTACAGGCTTTTTTGTAGATATTTTTAAGATATTCTGTAGTACATTATTTTGATTTATCTCGTAAGGTTTAGCGAGCGTTTGCAATGTAAGCGCACAAAAATATGTTTTCTACGACTTCACATTAGAAATCTTTGAAATTTTACTGATTTCCTCTACTATAGTATGCATATTTTATGCATTGCACTCGCTCTATTAAAATTCGCTGCGTAGTTTGAAAGATTTAAGCGTACAAGAAACAAAAAGCGACTGCTACTTATACTATGTAAAGATACTTAAACCATTAGGAAGGAAACCAGTATGACCTGAAACACAAATAGTATGGTCAGTTCGATCTACAAATAAGAATGCTGTATAATTCACAAATAGTTATTCTTCTATGTGCTGTGTTAATATTCTGTAAATCTGTTGAAATGTAGAATTAGAAGGAAACGTAAGTTGAACCATTGTATAAAAGAAAAATCAATAGTATTGACCGACACCGTCCAAGGCTACGAAATTTTAAGCAGTTCCAACTAGTTAACCTAAATAACTCTTATATAAACGAACACTTATACAGCAAAAACCTTAGGATCACATTAAAGTAAGCTCGGATTTACTCAACACCTACCCAATATGAGATTAGGCATTTAATCCCACACGAAAACTTGACTGACTTCGTACTATTTGGGTTTAGTAAATTGATCCCTTGGCGCTCAGCAGTATCACTTACACTTTAAACAATTCGCCTACTCTTTTCAACAAAATTTCATTTTGATAATGGACAAAGAATCAAAAGACACCTTCAGTTTGTGTTTGTGTGTGATGGTGTTTATAATCACGTTAAAACTTTTAAGGTGAAAAGGTGATAGATTTTTAAGTTCAGTAACCGTGACCCGATATCTTTACAAATCGATCGCCTGCCATAACGTTCCGCTATTAAGAGATCGTATATACTTACAACTACGAGGCAAAGCTGTCCGCAAAAGCTCATGTCCTCTCCTCACACATACTACTATGATAATGGAAAACCGTGACTAAGATGGAACAACGCTTTATTACTTGTCGTGTTGGTAACGGACATAACATCGTGCGTTCACCATTTTTGTCTCGTAACTATCTCCTGCTGTTAGGAGCATTCGGTCGCCGCAGGCACATACATAGCTACTTCAAACCAAGAATAAAAAGAAATAAAAATAACCAATTATATTCCAGAATGATTATTCTGGAATATTATTTGTCATTTTTATTTCTTGTTGTGTGTGAAAAGATATAGAGAGATGCGAATCATCTCTCTATATCTTTTCTGATGCTCGTCATTCTTATAAAGTTTATAAATATATTGTTTACAAGGCGAATAAATAAAATAGAAGTGCAAGTTATCGTTTTGTAGATTCTACCAAAAAGTAAAATAAAAAGAACGTTTTAACCTGAGAACCTTTACAAAGGTATACTTCGAAGATGTACATTATCATAACATGAAGCTCACATTAATGTCAAAGATAAACGGACTGTCCGATGATTTAATGCTGGATTCTCAGTCCTCGCTGACTTCAAGTTAATGATACCTTAATTGCATTCTTGTACTTTCCTGAATGATCGAATGGCAGTAATAGCTCTCTGTCTTCCCGAAATGACTTTAATTGGCATCGGAAGAAGCATCATGTATTTAAATAAACTATTATTTGTCGAGACCGATATATACCACAATGGGCATACAATCGACGTTTATTTACAATATATCAGTCGTATAATTTTCTACAGTGTTACAACATTTAACAATCAAAATGTTGTCGATATCTAAGGCTAGATGTAATGTAGTTCACAGTCCGGGTTGAGCACGCGACAAGATTTAGTGTCACCAGTGGCGGGCGCTCGCGTCAGACAAATATTTCACCTTGGTTCGCGCCGCCATACGGAAATACCACCAATGTGAAGCTTTCTGTAACTCGTTCACTTAAATCGAGCGGTACGTGCTTTCACATTTGTCTTCTTTCCTGGAGCTTCTCGACTCCCGGCTTTTCTACAGACAGGCAATAAGTTTTACCACTAAATAATTGCTTCTCAAACGTCTGGACGTTATAAATAAACTTCGAATGCCGTTCTAAGTTGCTGCGCTTCAGATTGCCTTTTAAATAAATAGAACGTATATTCATATGGTTTTCAGAAATCCAAGATACATCCACTCTCGCTGTGTGAACTTAGTTCCGCAATATTTTCTTTGCGAAGATGTTTATCGAAAGTTTCGAAGTTAGACATGTTTCGTGTTAACGTGCCAGTGAACTTGTCCGTAGTTGGTGTTACTTACACAACTGCTGCGCAGTAGATAACACACTAACAGACAATGTTGGTATAGACTTACTCGTACTTCAGTGTCATGATGTTTATTTGGTTAACCGGTAATATATTGCTTATAAAAGAGATAATAGTAATTGTTAAAATAATACTTATATTGATTGCAGCAACGTTGGACAACATAAGGGGTCGTGAATTCGGTTCCTCTCAGCCTTTTGAGTGATGAGTTCGTACTCGTCTACAGGATTAACGTCGTGTCACTGCTCGTGGTTATTTAAACTTCGTCAAAGTTATTACATTAGATTTGTAATTGTTGCGTAATGAATCAAGGTTAATACGTGTAAAATTTTTTTTTTTTAAAGTATCACCGACTTAACGGGCCTCCTTTATGGTTAAGTTTGTAATTAACTTTATTCTTCTTCCCTTCATTTTCCACACTCCAGGGTACACAAACTAATGAAAGCGTGTTAAAAAAAAACACTTATTTTAACACGCTTTCATTAGCTTGGTATGTATATGTATGTAACGGAATCTTCGAACGTGATTTTGATCCACTTTAAAACGTCGAATTACATTGAAATTTAGTACACTTATCAAGGAATGACAATAATACAATAATTCAGGATTAACGGCTTTTCCATTTCTAAAAATACGGTAGTGTTTTATGCTACGTACTAAGAAGTGTGTGCTGAAGCATATGTGACTTACTTACTTGTTACTTTTTAGCCTTGATGAGAAAATAGTCATCAATAATGACTACCTCCTTTCTAAGGAGAGGCCTGCAGTGGATTATTTATTTAAGTTGATGATTAATGACAAAAAAGCAAACATGAATTGTAGTTTAAAAAACAAAAAATGATAAAATGCGATAAAACGATTTTTCTTTTTGAACTTATAGAAAATTATTTTCTACTATTAGTTCGGATAGTTACAAAAGCGTATTTCAGTTTTTTTAAACTATAATTTATTTCAATGGTTCGAAACGCGAAGATGAAGAGATGATGAGATTTGTTGGCTTTAATTGTTCTAAGTATATACTCATTACTTTATCCTTATATGTTTAAATACTTTTCTATTTTGTCATGTTAGTAAAGTATCCTCAATAAAATGATATGTGATAAAAATAGAGACGGGACAGACATTAAATTTATAGTCTTAGTATTCGACAAAAAGAAAGGATTAATAGCTCTTGTAATAATGGATACAGACCTATCTATATCTTTCTCCTCGAGGCAGTTGACCTATGCTATACTAAAGCATATTTGATTTAGTAGCAGATAAAAACACGACAAATGCAATTAAGGCACGGACACATGCGTGCACATTTGCTTCCACAATTGACATGAAAGCACTCGTATTATTCCAGTTACTTTATGGCACAATGATCTCAGATTAGAAATGGAAGTTGTGTATGAAATTAAAATATACCTGAGCTGATAGCATCCCTAAACACGTTATTACCAGGCGAGCCATAAAGAGCGGTTATTTCCTGGTCTGCACAGAAGCGGCGGAATGATTTCATAACACAATTTTCCCTTTCGTAAGTCTTGCTACTTCAAATCTGCGGTTGAAGCTCACATCTCAAGAATATCATGGTAGTACGAACAATTTATAATTTAATGATATACCATTATATCCAACTCGATAATATTACATTCTAACAAACTTGATTTCTACTCTCATTGACTAAGTTGGTCTGATAACGAACGTACGACGAACGAACGGTGTAAAATCTTGTTTCCAACCTTGTCCACTGAGCTCATCAAGTTGGTTCGCTAGTTATTATACGACAACTTTGAACGATTGATTTAAAGGATATTTTCCCAGCAGTAACGTTACTCCGTTTTTATTAGCTCAATATAAAAATAATGTTACATAATAAAAAGATATTTCTAAGTTTTTGGAACTTATTCAAAAATTTTACTCTTTGAGTGGTTACTAAATAATATTTGCATTTTTATACTAACATATTTAGTCATTGCTGGGCTACATTTTTGTATATCCAGCAATTAGTTATATTTTCTTTGTGTTTCTACTTTATTACTGTTTCTGTTATATCTTAAGTATTCCCCCTTTTACTTACATCTTGTTTTATTATGTTACTAATCAATTAGTCGTCTTATTACTTCCTCAAATCTCTTCACTTAAGCTGTATTATTATGTTGACTACAATAAAGGTTATGTAAACCCACTTACACAATTTACAATTTATTGGCTGGGGTTCGCTCTTGCAGCAGCAGATCTTATGTCAGCTTTAATTATTATGTTAAAACTATTAATAATTTAAGTATTTCGCGCAAGTTGAAAGAGAATTTAACAATTAATCAAGATATTAATCTTACATGTCCTCACTCATCCATTGTAGCTTCGAGCTATTCAATTGGACTAAGAATCAATATATCGCTTGGAGCGGGTTATTCGTTATGATTGTTCTTATTAACAGTGACTTTTCTTTGACAGGATGACGTTCGCCTTGGCGCTGGTAGTGGTGTGGTGGGCGTGTGGCGCGCGCGCTGGTGAGCCGGTATTCGACCCCAGCACGCTGATGCGCCTGGTGCTCGTGCCCGCGGATGCACCTGTCGGCTCCGTCATCTACCGCGTGCGCGCCTCTGATCCTGATTTCGACTACCCGCTGCACTTCGAGCTGATTGGTTTGTACCTAACTTACTAAAGAACAAGTTTTTATCTCTTGTCTCGCCTGGGACTAATAAATCGGATACGGCATCCTCTTCAATGCCTCAACCCAATTAAACCGTTTTACTCCCTTTATCTGATATTGTTCTCAAACAGTGGCTTTTTGAGAATAATCAGTCATTTCCGAAAGTGAGCACCCGTGGAAACGAATTCTTCTGTGATTGTTCTCAAAAGTACTGCGACACTCTATACGAGAATTCGAGAATTAAGCATATAAATCATATGCTTTGTCGCCGGCCTCTAAATACATTTCTCATTTCGAGTCGGGCGACAAAGTATTATAACTCTGTGCCCGACTGAAAATATGTGTGCGATGCTACATGCATTTCCGCCCGACGTCATCTGCGATATCTCTGTCAAAAGTCGATCTTCTAAAACCATCTGTAAGAAAATTAAAAAGTGTCTTCGCCACACGTCTTCTAGTAATGAATTTTCTATGACATTTTCCTGACATCTGAACTGAGCATTTTTTTAATTTGTAGATTGACATTCTAGCCTTCTCCCTTCCCCAATAAAGAGAACCGTAAAAAGCTCACTTCTATCAATAGGGATAAGTAATGTATTCTTAGTTCTTAGTAAGTATTTCTTAATTTATCCATAAATTAGATAGTTGAAATTAGCTTTTTATCTCAATTAAATCGTACTTAACAGGTCAAATGGGACGCCTAGACATTGGTGTTGAGACTCTCCCGTGCACTCGGTACAATTCCGTATGCCAAGCTAATATCATCTTGCTGCGGCGACTAGAGCCCGGCCGCTATGTGGACTTCCGATTGTCGGTCCGGAACACCCGTGGACGAAGCACGCGCATCGCCTGCTCAGTAACCGGGACCAATGCCACTACGCCCAGGGACACTATCTATCCTCACCAGCCAGGCATTATTTTAGTGCCAGAGGTAAGAAAATTGATGTAATCGGTTAGATGATACAATGAGATTAGGGTTAGAAAAAATTGAAGTTAGGATTTTCTAATTGGGGAAGTACTTCTTTACTTTATACGATTAGATAAATTAATTTCATTATAAGTTAAAAAGCCTGCTATAATGTGCAACATAAAACGACAACTAATTATCGTAAGCTACCATTCATATCATTCAAAAACTTTATCATCATCATCATCAGCCTATCGCAATTCACTGCTGGACATATGCCACATAGGTCGATTTAAAAAAAAAAGTATATTTTTTTGTAAAGAAACAAGAGTTTTATTAGATGATACACATTGCTCCAATCGGTAAGATCTTTAAGATACAATCGCAGGAATTGCAAGGCGAGATGTTCATGCCTGGCACAGCCAGCCCAATTTTACCACGTCTCGTCGTTGGCAAACATGCATTTAGCCACTAAATGCAACTCACAATTAGTACAACTTGCTTATGCTAGATGGCGATGTAGTATATTTTGTTAGTATAAGGCATAGCAGCATCGTCACAGCAGATTGCCAAATTTGCCAAAGCCTATTTGCCAAATACAATTACAATTAAAAAAAATACTATCACGCACAAATATCTTTAATACTTATTTTAAAATAGTTTTAGCAATCGTATTAATATTATGGTCTATTAAACGTATATACGTAAATAACCTTAGAAATTATTTCACACTTATTGCTATTGGTAGTAGCTTACCATCAGGTGTCAGGTCTGCTCGGTTGCCCTCCATAAAAAACAATAATTTCATAATTATTCAAAAGGTTTCAGTTAGATATATCTCTAACATAACTAAGCGATATTTACTCTAACAATTTGTTTTATTATAAATTTTCTACGCACCTACTACATGCAAATACTTACTTAAACTAGTTTTATTATCTAAAAATGCAGAAGATAGGCCATTATTGGACTCGAAATTGTTGAATTAACTGCTCACTTAGGTTAAACTCATTTACGGACGGCGTTAAAATGATCTCTAGAATAGGTTCATTTCCATTTTAAAGGTGCAGTTATAATAGCTGAGTTATATTAACGTAAAAAGAGCACCTGTCCGTGCCAACAAATGAGGCGAGGAGATGGAGCGTGCCGCGTGACGTGAAGTGATTGATGATGATGATGATGATGACGTTCGTCCGAAGTGAAGTCCTGATACTGAAATTGACATTACTTTAGTAAATTTACATGGATAATTTTTAGTTTACATGCATGGTATATCATACGTATCGCCTAGGAATTTTGAAAATATATTAGAAAAAGTGAAGAACTTTATTGTGTATCCTTTAAAATTTGATTTTTTTAAAAATAGAGTATACTACTACTAATCTTCGACAAATATTACCAAAAAATAGTACTTTTACAATACAACAGGGTCATGCAGTATCAACTCCAGTGTTGTTACTCATGCGGTCTCAGCGTAATCTAGTACTATCATTTGTTCAAGGTGCAATAACACAAGGGTCCCAAGAACTTCGACAGACTAGTTTCGCAATAAAGTTTCCTATAAAGCGTAACCTTACTATCTTAAATTTTAAGAAAACGACATCAAAAAACCATTTGAAATCTAAACAGTACGGTATAAATAACAGTACTAAAATAAATGCGTGAAATTCCCTACTGTTTTGGTATTTATTTATGCGTTTACAAAAAGTGCGGTTAATACCTTAGTGTCAATAGACCAATAGCTCTTTTTCAATTGAGGTTTTAAGAACTATTGCGAAAAACAAGAATTGAAGGACTTTTTATGAACAACTAATTATATATAGCGTTGTCAAAACACTCGTCTGCAACACTCTTTGCTAAAGTGGTGCCTTGTTTTAATAGTACGCAAACAAAAAAATCGTGTTTCATTGATATACAATATTTGGGTTATTGACATTGTGTTTTTGTTGACATTGACACTAGAAACGATTCGATGAGTCACTAAATAGATCACACAAATTACAAAATTACTGGTAAATTACGTATTTTTAATTTCAGTGTTCTATGCGTAACCCTCCAAAAATTCTAATTTGCTATCTTTTTTACAGGACGCCAAACGAGGAACCGATCTAGAGATAGTTATCGCGCGAAAAAATCCTATAACGCCGAAACCTTTGGAACTTGAACTATGGGTAAGTAACCAAGTTATTTAAATTTGGAATGTATATGATACGATGGTTAAGGGTGAGCTAATGATATTTTCTGCGTGAGTCGTGTTTGACACGCATTTCACCCTAACCACATAGTGAAGTTTCGCTTGCACGTTAATAGGGATCATTTTCACAGCGTTCCGGCTGACGCAGTATACGCTTTTACAAAACTCATTTACAGTTTATGTGGTCGGACCTTAACGCAACATACATGTACTCTCACAGATTTGAATAGGCAATCAATCTCAAAATTACAATGGGAAACTTCACCAAATTATAACGTAATACACGTAATATCCAGTGCACGTTAACTTTCAAACAACAATATTATGTGCCGACATGTTGATGACCGTGCGAAATAGTTATATTTAAAACTTCATTATTTCTGCTGCCCCTACACAGTTCCGCTTTAAAATTATAATATAAACAAACTACAAATGTTGAGGCATAAAAAATGTAATAACGCGAAAGCTCCAATTCGGCTTTCAACCGAGAATCATCAGCAACAAGTTTATTGAAGAACTTTGTAAAGGCCAATTGTACTGCAGAACAATTACTCACAATTCACAACTGGCTGCTATGAATACATTATTTCGCGAACGATCTCATTAGGCGACTACTTAAGTGTGTTGTGGGCAGCTTGCGTTTAGCACAGACTATCTGATGAGTTGTAATTATGGGGCATTAAGAAGTGAGGTATGTTAAAATTCACACAGGCCGTGGAGAATCGCTAGCACCCGCAACCCGAGGTCATTTTATAAGCTTAAATGGAGATCGTGTCTTTACATGTGGGGTAATTTTAGAACGTACATTGTGAGCCGGCTGCGTCCAACCTCGATGTGTCTGGGTTTTAAAATGTGTAGTATCAAATTTAATTCGATGTAATAAACTTCAAATTGTATCTTAATGGTAACTGAAATAGGAGAAGAATATTACTTGTAGGGTTTATTTCTGTTTATTTGTAACAGAAATTACTTAGGTTTTAATAAATATTTATGGTTAAGATGAAAGTAACCAGGGCTCGTCTGTACAATTTGTTTGTAACTTTGTGATATAAAATATTACTTCATTGTTGCAAACCATTCTTGAAATGCTTGCTTGCTTTACAGCCGCCACATTATTATTTTGGACTTCAAAAATCCCACTCGAGATGGTACATGATATAATAAAGAATGTCCTACTATCAAACTTACAATACTACAAATAATGCAAAACTGGCTTTAGGTGTGTTGGTAAAAATTAATATGGATGTTTGTGAAATGACCCTACCCTGCTGATTTGCAAGAAATATTACTTACCACAGAAGAAATAATTTACTAATTACATCATTATGGACTCAATTCCTTACTTTGTGTCAATTAAACTTAGACGAGATTGTTTGAGAGTAAGAATGGAGATTAGAGTTATTGCGCTAGACTGGCTTGTTGATGTAGTGTTCAATAATCCTGACTACTAATCAATAGACATTGTGGGTTCGATTCCCACCCATGATAAATATTTCTGTGACGGACACGATTATTTCAAAGTAAGCATCCACCAGGCATTCAAAAGTAGTCTGATACCTTCTTTTATTTTTTGTTTTAGCCTTCTTAGTTTTAGAACTTCAAATTTTTCTATAAACTAACTGGCTTCAGAAGAAAGTTTACTCTAAGAAAAGGTTAGCATCGAACACTGTCATTGATCACTATGCACCTATGCGTTCTTTTATTTGAAGAACTTACTTATTTCCTATAAACTTTAGTGAGTTAGATCACTTTTATTCTGAGTGTGCGAAGGAAACCTCGTGATTACATAGGACTCTCACGGTAATGTATGTAATATCGTGCAAACTCGTACCACAATTTTATCATGCATTTTATTTTCTTTCTTATTAATAAAATCTTATTTCAGGGATCACCGCTGTTCGCTATTCGTCAACGACGCGTATCCGCTGAAAACACTGAAGGGACTATATTCCTGGTCGGACCCCTTGACTTCGAAGCTCAGTCCATGTACCATTTGACACTGCTGGCTGTGGTAAGATTTGTAAATCGAATTAATTAAAATTGTATAGTAAAAGATGAGTTGTAAATAAAATAAAAACCGATTTTCTCTTAAAAAATGCCTGCCCGATTTGCTCTTATCGCAAAGACAACTAAAAAGTAATTTGTATTTGAATAGGAAAGAATATGCATTTACCTAACTACTCACTAAAAGTTTCAAAGAAAACATTATCCTTTTGTTGTAAAAACCTAATATGTGAAATAATTTTAGTACTGCTTACCACACTGTTTGCTCATTGCAAGAAACACAGATACAAGAAAAGCTAACTTTAAAATATACCTAATTTCCCTAATTAGTGTTAATTATGCCAAGTCAATGAGATCAAGTCGGACACGTTGAACAGACGCAATCTAGTACACTAATGATCAACATTTAAACTGTAATTAATTGTACCAAAAGGAGTGCAATGTGGTACACATCTAGCTAAACATGTGCCCCTGGTATGTTAATGACATGTACAAGTCCAAAAATGTTAGTTTGCTTTTTTTCTTAATGTTGAGGTACAATACTGAAGCGAATACACGAGTTCAAGCTTGGAAATTACTAGGTTTACTTTAAATAATTAGCAACTGGTGCTGATTAATGTTCAATATTAATTACCTGCTAAAGTTTACCTGAATATTGCACACCCTAATATTATTCAATTCTAACGTCTACTTCAAGAACGAACTACTTGGAAAACCGCCCACACATGTGAATAACGCTGAATTGAAGGAGATGATGGAAGCCGATCTGAGTCAAGCCACCTAGGAATTAGCGCCATGGTTTGACGTTACCCTACCTACAATATTGACTCAATTGCATCAAATCAATTAGATAAAATAATATGAGAAATGGGTGCTTCATGATTTTACTGATCTGCAGAAAGGAATGCGTGTTGAAGCTTATGTTGCCTTGGTGAATCCGTACAGAAGTGAAGGAATATTGGACCGAATTATGACATATGATAAAAAGTGGATTGTTTACTATAACCGTAAGCGAAAAATGCAATGGCGAACCCCATGTCAAACGCCGCAACAGTGTCCTAAAGCAAAGCTTACCAATAAAAAGGAAATGGTAACTGTTTGGTGGTCTCTTTATGGTGTTATTCACTATAACCTTCCCAGGTCTGGTCAGGCAATAACAACAAATATTTACTGTGCCTTCGAACAATGATGGCGAAACTGGCAGTGAAACAGCCACGACTGGTGAATCAATCTTTACCATTATTGCTCTATTATAACGCATGTCCTTACACTCCACAAGGAACTGTTGTAACTATACAGGAGCTGCAGTTAAAAACCATACGTCATCCTCTGTACTCGCTAGACCTTGCTCCAACGGACTATAATTTTTTTCGTGATTTGGACAATTTACTTCATGATAAAAAAAAAACTTCCCAGAAGGCAGTACAAAATACTTTTACACAGTTTGTCCAATCTAGATTCCCAGATTTCAATCGCAAAGGCATAAATATTCCGTTTAGATGACAGCAATGCATAAATCATGAGGGTATTTTGATTAAATAAATACTCATGTGTTTAAAAAAAACGAGTGTGTGTAAAAAAACGAGTTTAATTTTTCAGTTTAAATCGGCAATTTCATACTTTAACCCCTAATATAAACACTCATACCTATACATTTTCATACATGTATTTAAAACATGCCATCGCATGTTATAAGGCTTTAGAGGTTCATAATCGTATAGTTTGAACTTCTACCATTATTGCAGATGTTAAGGTTTAAATTTATAGCCATAAGTAAAACTTAAAAGGATATGTTTATTTCGTTTTATATTTAAACCTTGCACAATTTACTGCCCTCTTATGCTAGTAATACAATTCTTTTAATAAGTAAAATACAAATAATTAATAACATAAAAAGCAAAAAAATAAAAAACATTGGAAAAAGATGAAGGAAATGTAGCGGAACCAACTGGAGAATTAAATTAAAGTCGCTCTGAGTTACGAGGGTGAAATTTAGCGAACTTTTTGGGTTGTAACATGGTTTTTCACGATTTCCAGCCATAGTTTTGTTCCTCTTATCAGAAAAAAGTTAAATGTAAAAGTTGTAGATATTAAAAAAAGTTTCCAACTTAAGACTCAAAAGTTAAGAGTGGTCTTAACTTCTCAAAGTTAAGACCACTCTTTGAGACAAACTCAAACTTTAAAAAAAAACGCTGTAACTGTTTGTCATTTTTACTTGGAACCAGCTTTTAAATAAATAGAACTCAAAATACGGATAACATTTTCTTTTCCAGGATCCATACATAGAAGTAGGAAAAGACACAAGAAATATCGCAAGCCTGGAAATTGTCATCGTGGTACAAGATGTTCAAGATATGGCTCCAGTATTTACAGCGGCACCACCCATCACCCACCTGCCTCGGCAGGTGGCTCCTGGCGATATGGTTGTGAGGGTCAGAGCTGAAGACGGGGATAAAGGAGCTCCCAGACAGATTAGATATGGACTAGTTTCAGAAGGAAATCCTTTTACGCCGTTCTTTAATATTAATGAAACAACAGGTATGGACTTTCGATAGTATTTTTCTCTCTAATCTCTTCTTTCATAAGTCGTCAACCATTCTCCTAATAGTTTAAATTTATAAAACATTCAAATGAAATCGATTCTTAGTCTTCTCGTTATTTCCTCTCTTCTCTAGAATGTAAAATTTTAAGATACACATTTTAATGCAACAGTTAAGACAAAAACATTAATAGGGGCTGTAACGGACAGCATATATAAAAGGCAAGAAAAACATTACATAGCATTTACCATTTCTAGCACTTTGGTAAATACTTTTCTACTTCAATGTTCTGTCCGTTATTTAAGAAGTTTAGGATCAATATAAGGGGGACGGACTTATAAATTGTATTAAATAATAAAAGTCTTTGCCTCGAGCTGAAGTACCGCATCAGTATATTAAGGAGATCAAGCTATATTGATTCATTCTTTCATTCAAGACCTTGTAACCTTGTAACTTAAGAGACCAACCAAGAAAGAGAGAACTATTTTATTTTATATTTTCTTTTGAATTTTATCAAGTCTGTGTGTTATTTTAATCAACAAAATAATTACATCTAATTTACCAATACTATAATAAATTCCAGAGTATACATATTTATAAAAAAATAATTTACAATTATACTGAAGAAATTACAAAATGGGAAGCAATCAGTTACCCAGTCGACCCACTATATACGCAATACCAATCTTTAATTTGACCTACCTAAGGGCCTTTATCACCTCTATCGATAAACTTACGCCCACGAAAAGTAATTAAATATTGAAATGTTATCTATAATATGTTGAATATCCTAGTGTTAAAATGCATTATAACCTACATTTACATAAACCTTTTAAAGTTTAATTACTCTATTTCCATACACACAAACGGAATTACTACCAATCTTATAATACATACATAGCTGAACATCTTTTAAATGTAACATTACTTTAATAAAAGTTGTTTCCGGGCTTTTCTTCAGAAGCCACACAGTGGACCTTAAAGATTTTAACAACGCATATAAATATTATATGATAGTAAAATGCCGACAAAGTAAAATGCCGTTTTCCTTTAGCAAAGACTTTTTGACTGACAGTATGCCCACTAATGAACTACACTCAAAGGCAAGAGCAGAGGGGAGACATGATTTTTATGTTGATACGCACAAAGCAACTTCTATACTTAAATTAAACAATAGTTGGACATCTCAGAGAGCAGAGATGAATCACTATAGTTACGATCTTGTTTAACAAACCTTTCGTATCTGTTTTATAAAAGCTGACAATTTGGCTATAATTAGGTAAGTCAGGTGACTTATGGGGGCGATTCCTAAGTTTTATTCAAAATACGGGTTAAACATGCATATTATAAACCTGCATTTACCTTCGTGAGTAAATTTTCATTAAAGGTTGTTAATTTACATGCTGGCTATTAGGTCAGCGGTATTTTAACGACGATGGAGCTTTTTCTACGTTCTATTTACATTAAAGGTGAAGTCGGCAAGTCGTATATTTCTATCACTTTTCATAATTTTACAACGCGCTTCGGTTGATTCATCCATATATTTTATTGTTTTTTATAATTATAAGATAGATTGATTGATACGTATACTGGTCTGGAATTTATTATTTGCGTCCTTTAATGTATAAGGAACTTGTTTTGAGCGACACTTTGGTTTTATGATGAAAACTATAAATTGAAAAGTAAATACTAACTATTTTTATTTCAATTTGTTGTTCGTGTGAGCGTAGTTAAAGCAAAAAATATATTTATTTAAGTTATTGTGATTGCTTGAACAAATGTGAAAGTCACTATTTTTATGCTAATCAATTCAATCAAGTAAACTACGCAGGACAACAGCACTGTAAAGAGAAGGGAAACTTGACACAAACCCTATACCTAATCCGTCTGGCCAGCTCGGCGTTGTATAGAGGCCAAAACCTCCTTTCTAAGGAGAGGCCTATGTCTAGCAGTAGACTATTAAAATCTGTGATGTGTGTAATGTGAATAAATTTTTGGATAGTGTTATCTATACAATTCTATTTCAAGTCCACCTCACTGTTATAACAAACCGCTTTACTTTTTTTATTTGTAATCAAGCATTGTAAATATAAAGTTGTTTCTGTTCAAAATCATTCATCGTGGGTTTATTTAAAAGTAAAGTACTTTTTTTTCATTATCTACATTATTTTAGTTTTAATACACCTCTGCAAATAGTCTAGTTTTGTGTTTAGCCTTAATGGAAATTATTTTTCAACTTCAGAGAAGCGACAGCTTGACTAATGTAGCTACTGCATTTTTTTAATAGTTATATTAATTTTTTAAAAGTAAACATTGAAAGTATTTTGTGGCAGTAGGACTTTTGTTATTTAAGCGCGTCTTTTGAACCCTGGATTATGTTGTAACACTGGTATGTGGAAAGAGAACGATAACATTTTTTTTGGAAATCATTTTTATATTATTTTTTTTCAATTTACAATTAGTTGATAAACAAAACGTAATATTTAAAACTAACATCGTGAAAATTTTAAATTATAGTCCGTATCTTTACTTCGCTCAAGTTATTTAACTGTGGCAGCATATTGTACCTCTACCAGTTCAGTAGTTTTTGCGTTTTTTGTACGCAGTAGGTCAGTATTTTTCCACACGATAGTATCCGGCTTCCGAAGGATATCCTACTTCCTTATCGCGGGTCGCCACACCCTTAGTGGAACAGTTGCCACGTGACTAGCCACCAGCATTGCGTGACCCACTTAATCCACTAAATAACACTATCAGGTTTTGTTTTCAGTTATTTTATTCCAACTTTTGATTTTATAGCACCGAATTTCGTGGTAAAACTTTGTTCATTAACAATAACAAATTAACCTGTAAACAAAACAGGGTGAAATGAAGCTTTGCTGTGTACCTTTTCGATACATATTTGTTTAAATTATGTACAGAGGTGTCCTTTTATTTTGTTGCTAAGTTGACTATAAAAGTACCTAGATTGTGATTTCATTGTTCTCCATCATTTAAAAGAAATTAAATTTATTAAACCGACTATGTTTAGACTTGGATTTATCAGACAGTTTACCTGAATATGAAATTATTTAGACTCCTATTCAGAGCCGAAGATCTTAACTTCCATAGTATTCCTATTATCGCTATTTTCATTTTACAGTAGTATTTTAATAAATTTAAATATTATATATACATAAATTCAAATACCAATGTTTTGATAAACAAAGTATAGTGATTGTAAATTCATAGTCTAATTTAAAAATAAATTTCACATTTAAATACCAAATTTACATTGATGACCTCCGACGCCCGACAGTAGTTTAGGCACAGGGGTTGCGGGTTCGATTCTAGCTACAGATATGTGTGTACATGTCTATTAATATTATATGAATACTTAACAACGTTCTAAAACACATAGTACAAGCTTTGCCTGGTCGGTATAATTATGTTGTTAAATATTATTATTAGGTACATATTAGTTATATATAGTTTTAGATAGTAAAAAGACTTCATATTACCATACAAAGCAAAACGTCCAATATTGCCCTCCAAAGACAGTTCAATAGTGCGCTGAACTTAATGCTTATGGTGGCACTAACATCTAAATTCTCATAATAAAGTCATAAGTTCATGTGCCGTGCATAGTAGCATGACAACGCTTACTATATGTATTTGGCTAACAGAACTACAAACACGACGAGCTTCGAAAACGCTAACAGGACATTTAATGTAAACCTTGCATTCAGCTGAACAAGCGCATAATGGCTCATTAGGCCTTACCGGTCGCGCCTTTGCGGCCATTGTTTGTAAAGCTGCACTAAATCCCTTCATAATAAAGGTGCTCCCTTTGAACACCGTGTACCTAGTCACTGTTGACAATACAATCCAACTGTGACATTATGAGCTTAATAACTCCTCCGCAAAATTGTCGTAAGAATCATTAAAATGTTATCGATGTTAGACGACTAATCGCTTTCTTGAAGTTATTGCATTAATAAACACCTTATGCGAAATCGGTCTGTCACCTACAAATCTATGTTGAGCTTATTCAATTTAGTCGAAGCAATTTTAAAACAGACACGTGAATTTGAGTAGTTACGTAAAACCCACCGCTATGAGAACCTACCGCTCGTATAGAGTATGCATACAAATGTACGTATTGAGCAAATCAGCCCTAAAGTTTATTTTAATATCGAACGTAATGATTGTAGTTATTTCTAAAATCATTATCATGTTTAAAGTTAAACAGAAGCGCAGAATTTAAATGAGATATTGAAACGACATCAAGGTTTAGAATCATGTATTATGAGGGAAAATAGTGTTCAGCTAAAATCATACAGATAAGGTTTTTGTAGATGAAAATTACTACTAAATTAATTTTTTCACTTTCTTTAAGTAACTCACAAAAGTGTTTAGTATGATATCATACCAAAGACTTGTCTTAGAGGTATATACACTCGGCTCTCTAAACTGCTCATCTCATAGTGTACAAGTTCATTTTAAGACATGACATTCTGTATTACGCATATATTTTTTCTTCCTATTTTGGTATAAGTAAAGTTTTTGCAGAGTAATACTAGCGAGCTTTCAAATAAAGAAGAATCTCATAAGAAACTTGTGTAGTGATGATTCCTCCTTTGAAGTCAGCAACGTTATATGTGTAGGATGGAATACACTTTTCTGTACGAAGTTGTTCTTATTTCCAGCCTACGAAAAAAGCAAATCTAATTTGTGTTCTTTTTATATTTGTCATGAGCTAGTTCTGTTAGAAAATTAGTTTGTTTGTACTATGACTGTTACGCAATATAATTATATGTAAGTTGCTATATGCTGTAGCTATAGTCGTGTAGTCTTTATCACTGTATCGTGGTTTTAACCAACTCACACACTGCTTACTACCTTTTAGTAATACTTTAAAGAAAGACCAGGGGTAGACGAAAAATATCTACTTATTTATACCCATAATATTTTTTTCCTATATTAAATAGTTTTTTGTTTATTTTACCTACTTTATACCTACTCTACACATTTTTTCTACAGATTTTTGCCAGTAAATATCCACTAAACACAAAAACAACAGTTTAATAATAGTTCTTTAGAGGTAAATGTTTGCTATTCAAGTTAGAGAAATGAATCTATTTAATTCGATTCATTAGGCAATTCGAGTCTGATGAGTTATGCGAGGTGGATGTTAGGCTATCCATACTTATATTAATGTGAAAGTAAGTTTGTTTGTTACGCTTTCACGCCTAAATCACTTAACCGATTTTTTAAATTCTGTCACCAATGGAAAGCTACGTTATTAGCGAGTAGCATATACTTTTTACCGCGATAACCGGCATACCCGCAGGCCGAACCGCTGGCAAGAGCTAGTTTAATACAAACCCATTATGGACACCAGAAATAGACACGTTATCGATGCTAAGCTGTTTTAAACGGACCATTTAAAATATATAATACTCGCTGTTGTTTATTTATTATACTTGTTTTGTAATACTCGTGGAATAGTGATACCAAACTCGAAATGCGAATGCGACCCTACTTATCATCAGAAACTTTCGGAACGAAGTTCCTGAGCGGATGGGAGCGATACCAAAAAATTTGTAACAATACTTTTTTTGACACTTCTTGTTCTTATCACTTGTCACTTGTTATTACTGTGACTGAAAATAATGATTAAATCTATTATCTTTTATTTATATTTTTATAGTAAAAATTTTGTTTATTTCTACTATTCTACTAAAAAAGTATTATTGATAAAATAAAATGTATACAATTCCTAAATTTTTATTTTTATTAACCTAATTATTCTAGATCATTAAGTGTTAATTTATCATTTTTGTTAATAATAAATATATATATAATTTTAAATTAAGCTCTATTAATATGATATTTTATAACATAAATTTAATGACTGTGTATGGCAAACTTCGTTCCAAACGCGGGTCCATAGACCCCTCACGCCGTTATTTTTACTATTTTTGAACCATAAAGTATGTTATATCAGCGGGTAAATTTTCAAAGTTCCATTTAAAAACGAACTCCGAGGTCCAAGTTTTGGAGAAAATCGCGCATAATTGAGAAGCCTTTTTTGAACGACCAATAATGCTATATATGCTAGGCGTCGTACAACACAGCACTACGTACATAAGTAGTATTCATTTATTCCTCAGATTCCTCAGTAATAATTTATTCGGTCTATTCAAGCCGCGGCTACTAAATAATGAATGAGGGTCTCATTTGCGTCTTGTCACCGACGACAGATGAGGTCCTCGGTAGATTAATACTAAAGAGACTGGATGCACCACTTTTGTATGTTAATTACAAGTCACGACTTTATTTTTTCTTAGACACCTACTTGGCACAATGAAAGCGTGCCGTTGTACTAGGCTGTCATGAATGAAAGAATGTTTGTCACTGTACCTGTTTTTGTACTTATTATGCCCATAATAAGTAAGCGTTAATAAATTCTGTAGAAATATGTTCATAGATCTCGAAAGTTATTATTGACGTTCGCTTACTTTGATATTTGCCTACTTACAGCATTTGGTCAAATGCGTTAGTTCCTTCACATAACACCTTATAACGAGACACTATTAACATTATTTGTTTTTTTTAATTAACATTCATCTTCTAATAAATGTTAAAATGCTATTTCAACACTTACTAGAAAAATACTATTTAACATAATCATTTATTATTAAAAATTATATAGTTCATTAAATAACGTATAACTCAACATTATGTACTTTTCTGGTTTAAGTAAAATTATTTTTGAAATTCAGTTTGTGAATAATTTCTTTTAAATATTATTTTTAAAACTTACATCACGACAAATTTCACAAGTAATGGACTGGTTAGAACTTGTGAAAATACAAGTACATACATTTACATACATTTGATGTGTAATAGATAGATACATAAATCGAAATGTATATATAATTATGAAATACAAGATCTACTCTTAAATAGTTAATACAGTGCCATCTAGTAGCCAAAAGGTGCACTAAATCAGAAGCCATCGTTTTAGTAGAAAAGAAATGGCTAAAGAATGTTGGTGAGATTTCATAGATGGCTCTAGTATCTTAACTTGTTCTAGATTATTATAGTAATGAACAATATTCCCGTGGGTAGCAAACTGTGCAGAATAACAATACTGCAAAGAGAAGGAAAACTTGACATAAACCTTTACCAACCCGTCTGGCCAGCGTGGTATAGTAGGTCAAAAACCTCCTTTCGAAGGAGAGGTCTAAGCAGTGGATTATTAAAGACTGTTGATGTGAAAAACATTTTCTAAATTAACTATTAATCAATTAACAATTATTATTACAGGTGAGGTGACTTTGGAGCGTCCTATTGAGGAAATAGCAGCGATCTCGCATGCGGGTGCTCCTATTCTTCTCACCGTGGTAGCAGAGGAGGTGCGTTTGTCCAGAGAAGAGCCAGAAGCGATGTCTTCTACAGTACAGCTCGCATTTATATTGCCCGAGCGGGAAAATTCGCCGCCGTACTTTGAGAATGAATTGTGAGTATTAAAGTGCAATGCTGTGCTTTAGAACGAATCACAAAATTTAAAAGGGTGTTAAATATAGGTAAAAAGAAATATCAAATTAAAACTTTTGGATACTGGCTCTTTAAAATAGACCCGTAATATTTGAATTAATGATTCAATAAAAAAACTTATCAACACGAGGGACCAGGCTCTTCTATATATGTACTAAATTTGATTTTGTCTGTTTTTAAAATAGAAAATGAGCCAAAGAAATAACTAAATTACGTCATCATTATTATCTCAGCCTTAGTCAATCTAATTTAGGCCTCTTTTAAATGCTTCCCTATGAAGTTGCCTACTCTTTTCCTTATAAAGTACCTAGAAGTAAAAATACTTTCTACTCATACTATACTTTTAATATAATGGTATAATTCAAGAATCTTCTTCATTTTTTATAACATCATGCACAAGTGTATGAAAAAAAATTACAAATTAAATCATAAATTTTAATAAGTGTCCATACTTATTTTACCTTAGAACCCTCGAAATTTGTGTAAAAAATATTATAAATCAATGCCTAAATACTAAATTCAATACTAAATCCCTATTGCTCGTATTCTGTGTATTAACAAACTAAGACAACGATATAACATTTCCAGCTACATCTCTTATTTGGATGAAAACGCACCTCAAGGTACGGCGCTGACTTTTAACGAACCATATATTCCCCAAGTCAATGATAACGATTCAGGCAAGAATGGAGTATTCTCGCTGTCACTCGTGGGTAACAATGGAACCTTTGAGATTTCACCAACAGTCGCTGAGAGACATGCCCAGTTCATCATCAAAGTGCGAGACAATACAATGCTCGACTTTGAAGCGAGGAAATCTGTTATTTTTCAGGTAATAATCAAATAAAGCTACTTCAATAAAAGTTTTCTAAAGCTTATATTATGATTTAAGATTACGTGAACTTGTCATGACTTATTTTTATTTTATTTTCAGATACTAGCACAAGAGCTGGGTCCAGCTACAAACCTGTCAGCTACCGTAAATGTTACAGTGTATCTGAATGACGTCAACGACAATCCGCCAATATTCTTAGCGCAATCGTATGACGTAGAACTCGCCGAAAATGTAACCGCTGGTACAAGAGTCGTCCAAGTTGCTGCTGATGACGTAGATACAGGGTCATTCGGCAAAGTACAGTTTACTGGCATACTAGGATACCTCAACACTTCCTTAAACTTGGATCCTATATCTGGAGTCATAACTGTCGCCACAAACAATCATGGCTTTGACCGTGAAGCCATGCCAGATCTGCATTTCTTAGTAGAGGCTAGAGATAATGATGGAGTAGGTTTAAGAGTAACAGTGCCATTAATTGTTAAGTTACTAGATGTTAATGATAACCCACCAGAATTCGAGAGGTCATTGTACGAATTTGTACTATCGCCGACCTTGAATAATTTCACTTCGGCAGCTTTTGTGAAGGCAGTTGACAAAGATGCTGAGCCACCAAATAATGTAGTCAGATATGAAATAATACAAGGGAATGGAAAGTTTGCTATAAATGAACAAACCGGTTAGTATTTTCTATTTCGTTGAAAAGTCAAATGATTGAAATGAAAATATGCACTTTTTTGTACTTACGCAAAAAAAATACATTTAGACATTTACTGTTTTTTCAGGTGAATTATATCTATTAGAGACATTGAAAAGAACTAAAAAGCAAAATGTACAGAGACAAAGACGACAGTCTGAAAATCAGGAAGAAAGTGAAGTATATACTCTGAGTATCAGAGCGTATGATCTAGGTATTCCTAGAATGTATTCTACCACTGCGGTGAAGATATATCCCCCAGAAAGTAAAACAAGGACCATGTCCTTCATAGTTCCAGGAGCAAATCCCGATAAACAAAAATTAGAAGAAGTTTTAAGTACACTTTCTGGAGGAAAGGTAACAATTATTGAGATTAAACCTTACAAGGGGTCCGATAATGGTGCTACAGGATCGAATGGGCAGCAGTCTAATCAAGAAAAGTAAGTAAAAGTTCTTAGCAACTTAGTATCGCTAAAGTCTAGTCAGGTATCTGTAGTGTCTAAATACTACATCATTCTATTTGCAGGAGTGAAGTGATTGCCATTGTTCGGATGACTGAGAACACTGCTATTAACGTAGCTAAGTTACAAGAACAACTAGCAAAGAATGTGACTGTATATACCACTGGCACTAATTCTGGCGGTGTTGCCAACACTAACAATAATATTGGTTCAGGCAGTGACACAAGTTCCAGCAAATCTGATAGAACATCTACAGCTACAGATGGTGGTGATTCTGTAAGTAAACTTAGGTTAAAACGAAAACATTTTCATACTTTGATTATATGTCAATACCTTTAAGAAACTAACAGTTTTAAAAATTGCAGGGTATATACAGAGCAGAGAGCCGTTTACTATTTTGGCTGTTGATATTATTGGCGATATTAGTAGCCCTAGTACTGTTACTGCTTATTTGCTGTTGCATTTGTGAAGGATGCCCCCTTTACATGCCTCCAAGGTAATTTTTTATTTTCTTTTCATCTTTATTTTTAATTTGAGCTGTAATTCCCTAAAACGCTACCTCTAACACAATTATACACAAAGCATTAGAGACACACACTTGTTTTTATTTTATTACTAATATTTCTTTTTCTCTTATTAACAGAATGAAATGCACCAACTAATGCAAGTTTTCACACCATCTTAACACTTTTTAGGTAAATATTTTATTTTGTTTAAAAGCATTTTCACTAATTTGTTTTAACTTACATATATCTTAAACCTAAACACTACACATCATTTAAGGTTGACTTTTTGGGATAAAGCTTTCATATACTGAGCAACTTCAATTGCATGAAATTTGAATTGAAATAGTTTGAATGTCTTCTATTATTTTAATACATTATCACGATCTTCTATTCATAAGTGATGTTAACCAAACAGCTAGGTACATAGATATCTATTAATAAATTCTAGGAAAAGAGTGATACGTGTCAACTCCACAGAGGACGACGTGCATTTAGTGGTACGAGACAAGGGACTTGGGAGGGAAAACAAGTCGACGCAAAATATAGAAAATAAGCCCATACAATCAACTGAGTGGAGGAGACGCGAGGCATGGAGTGCTGAACAGGCAGACTTGAGGACGAAACCGACGCAATGGAAGTTCAATAAAAGAAATTATAGATCCAAAGAACCCTCTAAGCCAGCATCAACACCAGGAGATATTCATCATGAGTTCGTACATGCTGCGGCAGACAACGATTATAGATACAATGACAACCGTCAGTCATTCCGATTAAGGTACTTACACGTTTGTATTGGTTGATACTAAGCGCACATTGACATGGTTGGTGCCATAAATATATAATAACGTAATAACTAAATATCTTTTTGTTTATATCTTTTCAGAGATGGACCAAACATAATATATACAAAAGAAATGCAGATAAAAGACGCGTTTGCCAACAAACACAAAGAATATATTGAAGATTTAGAAAATGGTTACGACAGAATCGCTACACTTCATTATCAAAATAGAGAACAAGACAATGATTCCATTCGTAGGCATGAAATAGATCGCGGCTCCGAGGTCGGAGTAGTCCTCAAGTCTGATGTTGAAAAAATTAAGCATGACAAGACTGACAATAAAACTAAACTTGAATTTCAAGATAAAGCACGCGCCCCATCTTCTCTAGGCAGAGATCAGTATTTTATAAAAGAGGGTAATACAGAAATTCTGAGACTAGTGACGAGAGGGAATAATGAGGAAGAACGTTATGTAAATCTTCCGTCTCATCAACAACGACCAGTAACATTAATTCCACATACACAATACGTTGTTGTTGATAGTGGGAAAAATTTATTAATGGAAAGATTTATAAGGGAACAAGGAGAGGAAGCAAAAAATATTCGAGAGAGAATGGGAAAGGTAACAGATTTGGATAATATGTCTACAGGCAAAGACGCTAAAAGCGTAGGACAGCGCTCACTAGTAGGAAGTGAGGTGCAAAACCAACTTCATGAGTATACTAATCTCCATCCTGATGTACCTGGGTTGGTGCCACTTAAAACTGATTATCTTCAATCTGCATTATTAGAAATGCAAAATAAATCAACAATACATCAAGAATTACTAGAGTCATCGTTAAGAAAACAAAATGAATTGTTACATCAAATACTTATTGAACGTGAGCGAATGTTACAGAATCAAGAAACTGCTTCACAGGTGGAAAGTAAATTAGAAACTCAAAGCTTGCCTGGCCACTCTGTAATGGCAACTCAAACTGAATGTCACATAGGTACACAAACAGAGCCACCACTCCTTAAACCTACAAGACGAAAAGCCAGAAGTGACAATGATTCCTACAGTGAAGATGAATCTGAAATGGTATTAGAAGACCAAACAAAGAAAGTTTCTTGGGTAAAAAAGAAAAAACCAAAAAAGAAGTTAAGACACAAAGACCCTAGACGTAGTATGAGAGTATATGATTTAAAAAGAAAAATAAAAACGCCTATTATCGAGGAAAGTGAAATTTCGCCTTCTCTAGAAAGTGAAAAACATGTTAAAATAAGCAAAACAAACGAAAGAGAGGAATATGTGAGAAATTATGGTGATGTCACCAAAAGTACAGTCACAACATCAAAAAATGAAACTGTTAGTTCTACGCAAATCAAAGTGTCGGATAGTGATAGAAAACCATCAAGACTAAGGAAAGAAGTGCTGATGGAAATTGCGGATTCTTTAGACGAAAAAATGGACTCCGATGTAAGTGAAAGAAGGTTACGACTTCAAAGACAAACTTCTGAGTCAATAGACGATCATACTTTGCCCACAAGTCCCTTGGCCTTAGAACATGAATCTAATGATAGTAAAAGTGGCAGTAGTTCAACCTCAAAAGATAATAGAAACTTGGTATTTTCGAGACAAGGTTCTTCGACAGAAGCTCGTGAAATAGCAGCTGATCAGTCAGTCATAAAGATTAAAACACCTGAAATAGATATAAAATCACCAAAAGTAGATAGTTCAAGTAATTTAGAATCTTGTAATAAAAAAATCAATGATGCTATTATTTCTACCAAGTCTTCGGAAACTGTTAAACCTGCAGGCAAAAGTGTGCCACGATATATGCAGTGGTATGGTAATAAAAAAACAACCAGTGCTAAAGCAGCGCCAGCAGAAAAAGTGATTCCAAACAAACCGAAAAGATTATTAAAATCAAAAAACGATGACGACAAATCAGGTAGATATGGGAAGATCAATAGTAAAGACAATCAAGGTGAATCAGAGGTAAAAAAAAACGTCAAATCTTCAAAAGAAAGTGAATTTATTCACCCACGTATATTGAAAGAGGGTAAAGTCACTCCTGTACCAGAGGGGCCATTACCAGATGTTCATCCTCTTCTTCAACATTCTGAACACAGGTACGAACATCAATACGAAAATCAAAATCCTCTTTGCTACATTCAACCAACGCATATCCCTAAATATCTCGGTCAACAACCAAATTTACCTTTGCCACGAAAGTCATCTGATCAACAACCTATTTACGTAAATCAGGATGATGTTAAAAAAGAGACAACACAAGATATATCGGAGAGCGCGCTCACTCATAGCATATCCATTTCTACTAATTACGAGGAAGATCGGAAAAACCCAGAAGTACATGTTTCGAAAATAAATATAGGGGGTGATAACGTACCTGATATACCACATAGAAATTTAACATCCAAAATAGATGATAATGATTCGGGTATAGCTATGAACACCTTAGTACAACAAAATATGAAAAGATTACCAATCACAGAGAAAAAAAGCGTGTTCACAATAGCATACGACGACGTTCAAACAAAACAACTAAGACCAGACAGTAGCTCGACTTCTTACTAGTTCTCTTTTCTATTCCAAATATGAGTGCCTTAAATCATTGTGTGTTAGTCATGAAATAAACGACTCCTACTCAGTAATGCCGTCCAATGTTACATAATAATTAAAATTATTTTATTAATAATAAAAACAAAGTATTTTTACGCATATAAATTGGCACAGTTTTAGCTAATATTCGTACCATCTTAGATTTTGTTAGACTATTAAGCTAATTTTGTTATGGGTATGAAATCTTAGCTAAAATTCATGCTGAATTTAGATTCGGTGTGTATATTAATTTGTAAGTGAACTTGATACAACTGCCTTTGTTTATTGACTGGTTTATAATAATTTTAGAATATTTTCTTATAAGAAATTGTAAATACATTACGTGTTGAAAATAAATAATAATATTTAAATTAATGGTAGCTTTAATATGTCTTTGTAAATATTATTTCTGTAATACCTTATAATGCATTCTGATACAGAGTGCAATTCTATATTTGTTAAAAAATATATAAAGTTATATATTACATATTAAACCATGAGTATTATTTGAAACATTGTTTTCTTTTTTCAACCAAAAAGCGATAAGTTAGCAACTTACGGAATGTTGATAATTATAAAAAATCGAAGGGAAATTAAAAAAGATTTTTGCCTATAATAGATGTTCAATTAATAATAAACATTGCATTTTCTTGAGTCAACCATTACATATTAGTTACTTGTCGAAAAATGACTCGCTCTTAACGGCGCCGCGAGCGCGTTTTGCGTTACGATTGGTGGAGATTTCAGTTCCAATCGCAGCGCCAAACACGGTCAAATTTCGGCCTCTGATCATGACGAAATTTTCACACAATAATTCTTTTGTACAGAAAATTACATTGGGTTATTGGGTGGGGTTCTAATCCTGAAAAAGGTACTATTACCCAGTACCCAGAGATACCCGATTTATTTTTCTGATTAATTGACAAAATCCAGAAGCCGTGGGCAAAAGGCGGAAGTAAGAAAACCATCAATGTTCATCACAACTACCCATAATTTGTAGAGTAAATGTATTACTAGCGTTGTGACCTTTCATGTAAAAGGCTTATACATCATTGTTTAGCTTAACCATAGCTGCATTGAAATTTTGACTGCACGGATGGCATAGTGGTTTAAGCGGTCACCTTCTTACTGCGCTGAGTGTTGTGACAACACTTTGTGAAATACACAAATTGTTGTGCTGAGTCTGGGTTTTCTTTGTGTCCGTTTTATGTATGTTTGTAAAGTCCAGAGCGACACTGGCTTAATAGCCTGAAAGTACAAAACAAAGTACCTACTTGGTTTACTTACACTTACTTCAGATACGTCTATGGTGCTGATTAGACAATAGCAATATTCAAAATAAGTACACGCTACAGAAATCATAATTCAATAGTTTATTATACAGAAATCAACAAATACAAGTAATCAAAAAATAATTTCAAAAAAAATATGCAACGTAGAACTAAAAATGCATTTAAATGAAGATTTCAAAACAATCATAGCCAAGTAGGTATAATTTAATTAATTCATCATGCATAAACAAGTTTTTTTAATTCAAAATTATTGAACGTTAGTTAAGTTATTAGATATTGATAGATTGATTATATTAAGGTATTGGACATTGGTAATAAATGAGAAAGTTTTATTAGTAGACTTCAATGACGCAGCGAAGGTGATGTATTATATTGGCATGGAGCAATACATGCCACAGCTCGTTCACCAAAGACTGTATGGTACCAGCATAAAGCATTCTGTGAACTACGTTTATTCTTCACGGTTCCCTTCTCCTCGTCATTCTTATTTTCTGTACCAGAAACACGCTCTTGCTTCTTGATCATCTGCTGTTCTTCAAAAGCAAGATCCTCGTCAAGCATCAACTGCACTATTTGCACCTGTTTAGCAAGCTCATCTATTCGTTTAACTATAGTTTCAAACTGCTCAGACGATAGCGATGTGTTCTTCTGTAATTCAGTCGAAGGCAGCAAGGCCATAACTTTATCCGCCATAGGACCAATTGTTTCCACGTGTCCTGATGTTTCTAGACTCACCACTTCACGTACTGGCTTAGGTAAATTTTTCAACCACGTATTCAAAACAACCTCAATTGGAACACGTTGATCGGCCATTTTTATAAGTCTTCGCAGATATTCCGACGGCTTTTCCTGACTTAACTTTTCTCTTTTCAAATGGAAAATCGACATTCGTTTAATAAATTCATACTTGATGTGATCATATTTGCTTTGTGGTGGTGGATTTAGAAGAATATCCTCTACCATTGAGGTAAATTCCGTGGGTGTATGTGCCACTACGTAATCGTACTTATCCGTATCAGTTGTAACACCGTTCAATGCGAACACAGATTCCACTTGAGCAAACCAAATGGCCAGTTTTTCGCTTGAAAAACATGGAAATGGTAGATAATCCATTGCTTCAACTGATATTTCGATACACTTCAGTGCAGACAGCTAGTTATCTACTGGCTAAGGTCTACGATATTATAGATATTTAGCAGGTAGACGATTTATCTTTGCCTACCTACCTACATACCGTTATAAAGTGTGCAACCAATACACCCAAGCCATATGTTAGGTTGTGTTTAAAGAACTTAATTCATATTCAAGACCGTTACAGTCCACTTAGTGAGCATAATATAAAAGTAAACAAAGTAATAACAAGGAACAGCGATCGTAGGTTTCTAAACCAATGACTCAAAAAAGTTAAGAAAACAGATTGCATTGTCTTATGTACTCACACGAAATTATGTTTTGTATTGTTTTGTATTTGTAGGGAGTCCGTTATGGTTAATCACTACAGTGGGTAAGCATTAGATTGCACCATATAAATCAACATTAGTTTATAATATGCGCGCACTTTTGTTACTTTATTTCTATGTTCTTTATGTTCAAGATTTCATTACGTAAAAGCTTGTAAAAAGATCTAGTTTTCTATTTTTGTTTTAAGTTTAAAAAGTCGAGTTATTTTTACTTACTACTACCAACATACTTCATTTCAATAGGACAGTGACAAAAAGCAGAAAATAACAAAATGGAAATTCGATCTAACTACATGCAACTTACAACAACAATATTATTATTATGTTGCCAATAATTTATAGTATAATCATGAACTATGTACCGTTGTATTTTTGATTACAGACTAACTTAACTCAAAAAGTCAATTTGTTTTAATTATTCATTTTGCTACAAACTTTTAGTAACGAGTGTGTTAAATAAAATGAAGGCATGGAACAGTCATACTCGGTTTATATAACGGAAAACTAGATGTCACTGTTATCAAAAATGTAAAAAGAAATCTTAAATTACAAAAATTAACAAAACGCCTTATTCATACTATTAAAATACCATTTTGTATATTAATTTTTATATACCATTCTCTGCACTGCTCTGTAATCATTATTTATTTCATATAACATCACTTGTAGAATCCAAACCTTCCATTTAAATATTTTAATCATTACTGCGGATATTTTAAACGAACAGATATTATTTCGAGAATACTAGGTTAGAATAACTAGCAAGGAGGTTCAAGAAATGTCAAGTTTAAAAAACTGCCAGTGGCGCCATACGAAATGAAAACGGTGGTTATAGAAATTATCTGATAAGTCATACTCCTGAAGAGTTTGCAGGTGTGACGATAGATGTCTCAGTAGTCTTCACAAAATTTATTAACCAAGAAAGCTTTAATGTCAGAATGTTCTACACGTCAAGAAAATTCTTTAGGGCGAATATATACAGATGAAGCGCTCAAAATCATCTCATATTTGGCATCATCATCGTCAGCCTATCGCAGTCCACTGCTGGACATAGGCGTCTCCCATTGCACGCCACTTAGATCGATTTTGGCATATCTAATACCTTAAAATGAAAAAATCTTGTATATAAATATATAATATATGTATATCTAATACCTTTAGTATGAAGAGGGTTTCGGGGGCGATTAATCGATCTAGCTAGGCTTAATTTTTAGAAAATTTACCAAAAAATTTCCGGTCATCCAGGTAGTATTTATTTATTTATTTTTATTTTTTATTTATTTAACATTTAATGTTTGATTTGGTCTGGGTGTTTCTATATATAATAACTATGTATTAACAAAAAAAAAAGTATATATGTATTTAAATCAGTTGTCTAGTACCCATAGTACAAGCTCTGCTTAGTTTGGGACTGGATGGCGTTGTGTAAATGTGGTACAAATGTGTGTGGTACATTTGTTTAAGGTTCACCAACAGTTGTTACAGATATAATACAGGTAGGAACATTCAAGTCTTTGTGTCTTAATCTAACTGCACAACAAATTATAGGCAAACACCACATGCAACGTGTTCTTTGTATAAACATATTATGCCACAATTTTTAAAACCTATTTACCTAACTTACATTCTAGGAAATATACTAAATGCCAATGACTCGATCACATTTTCATATGTTTGACGTGACTGCCAATCATCGATATTGAATCAGAGTGGACATCAACCAGGCTGCTACATTCGTTTATAACTTTGCACATGCGGGAAATAGGCGAATTAACACCAACCACTGTACGGCGAAGAGGTGGAGCGAGGGGTGTTATAGGTTTACGAGGTGGTCTGTGGGGTACTCTGAAGTTGAATTTTTTTAATAATTGTGGGCAGTAAATAATGTTTTTAAATAGTTTGTTAGCGAATCTCAAATCCAGTATATAATATATCCAGTATATAATCTGAATCTCGGAAACAGCTCCAAAAATTTTCATGAAATTTAGTATGCAGGGAGTTTCAGGGGCGATTAATACTAGCGAGCAAAGCTCGGTCATCCAGGTACTTTTATATTTATACATATAGAAGAATCTCAAAAAGTTAACTAATTGTGTAGTAAAGTTAAAAATATGTAAAAATGGCTCAATAAAACCATACGGGTCCAGTATACTTATCATAGACATGAAGTTGGAGATTCTTAAAACCAGCATTTTCAGATGTAATTTTCTGTGAATTGCCGTGAAATTCGAAATTCAAAGAAATTTCAATTAAAAGCCATGTTATTTTAATTTAAAATTCAGTCCTTGTGGTGGTTTTTGACGCCATTGATAAACTGAAAATTTTCGAATATGAGTTTCTACGTGGAAATACTGCTTCGCAAATAACACAAACCATTACCTACACGGTCCATTAATGGTTCAATCGTTTTAGACCTGGAAATTCTGAGTTGAAGAACGAGCCTCGCGGTCGGCCGGTAACTATAGTCGACAACGAAGAATTGAAAACGATAGTGGAAGCGGATCTAACTCAATCTACGGTTGAGCTTGCTGTGGGCTTTGGAGTTAGTGTTAAAATAACATTGAAGCAAAAGCAACATTGGTCTTCGTAGGCAGACCCGAGTACGCAAACGCGCGAGCTCACACTTCACGATGGCTGGAGCCTGTATGCCGTCTGTATGGACAGGCCGACTTAAAACTATGGTTCTTTCTTCAAAAGGCCTACCCAGACCCTATACTGTACTCGCACAATTTTATTTAACTTTGTTTACGTACTTTAAAAAAAGACACCTCTGTGGTTTGTTTCGGCGTTTCTTCCCAGAGTGAGTCTTAGGAAATGCCGGCTCCTGCTGTAAAGTCCGACTTGTAAAAATATCTGAAAAGATTTACTTATAGAAATAAATATTATTTATCATTTACGACAGACCATCGCAAAGCTAGAAGAGTTACAGCTGAAAGCTTTCCGTTATCCCCCCCGTACTCACCCGACCCTGCCCCAGCAGGTTTCTACTTTTTGCAAAATTTTGACATTTTTCAACACCCGAGAGGCAGTAAAAAACGCTTTCGCTGACTTCATGGCCTCCCATCCAGCAGACTTCTACGGTAAAGGGATAAACAAAAAAATTACAACATTAGATAGATAATTTGGGCCAGTAGGTACTTTGATTAACTAAATTATAGCCGGCAGAAAATTCCAATGATTTTTGACTCAGAATGATGGTCACAATACTCTATTTCAGTATTCTTTACCACGTCCCTTCCTCCTCCTCGCTTCGGTTGCCTCAATGCTGAGGGTCGTGACCGCCTCCTCGCAGTAAGAGTTTGCTGTGGACCACTCGACGCCACCCGTCCCTATCCGCCGCCGTGTATATATATACAAATCAAGTTATTTCTTCAATTCAAGGTATTTCAAATAATCTATTTTCAATGTAGAGTTCCGTACTTTATTATTTCCTACCTTTATTACTTTACCTTTATTATTATTACTATATAAAAAACCTGAATTAACGAAGTAAACTTAAATATTGTTTCACCGTTCACCGTTCAATCATTCGCATGAGCAGTTCCTTCATTCAGCTCATTTGCACAGACGAGTCGCGCGGAAAATTATTTCTTTTCATATTCCCATTTTTCACGTCTTACTTAAAGTTTTCAAGTCAACGGGGAGTTTGTGATTCGTTTGTTTATTTTTCATTTGTCTTCCTTCGTTGATTGACCAATTTATTATTCCGAGTCATATTTAGCATCTATTGAGGTAGATGCTGTTTTTTTTTATACTTAAGCATCTATGCAGGTAGGTGTCGGTTTTTCTTTTTTATAGTTAACTTTACCTGCTAAGTGCTTGAATAAAAATCTTTTTTACATAATGGTTTTATAAAAAAAGAGAGCCATGCTTCGACACATGTAGACCCGGTCGAAAGAAGTGATAAAAATCGTGATCGGGTTCACAGAAAACCGGTGTTACACAATTGGCGAAGTCTTTAGTGACTCTCGAATGTTTTGGGATGGGACAAATAATTTTACTTGTCTTCAAGGCATTAATCGTAATAAAATAATAAACTTTTAGAAAAAATACCGACTTCAATGCGCCCACAACATGAGGAATTGTAATATACTTTATTTTTTAATTTCCCACTTTTAGGGGTGGTATTTTTCTTCACATTTCAATGAAACCAAACGGGAGCAATATACTCTTAAATAAAAATAGACTAAAATCAGTTTACTAACGACGGGGTTCTGAGTTAATAAATAAACACAACCTAATAACTTAAGAACATTACTGTAGTGATGAAAACAAAGTAACTGTTACAAATAAATACAATACAAGAAGTTTTAGAGAGAATATGTTGGTTAAACCGAGGATGTCACACTTTTACGGAGATCGAACGTCTAAGTTTTTAGTATCTAAAATACCCAAAGAAATTAGCTTGTTAAGACAAAATACTAAAATAAACAAAGGTGTGCTAAAAACAGAATTGAGGGACTTACTCATCAATGACGAGGGGACCGTGGAATTCACTGGCAGTGAGAAATAGCTAGAATAGAGAATGTTTTATATAATAACTTGAGAACTAATATTGTATAATTTTAGAAGTAAGCAGTAATTAATTTATAGTTATATAATTTGTATTAAAGGGGCGCATCTCACCATCGCGTTTGGCGAGTTTAGTATTTA